TGGCACGAGGAAAACGTGGCTGAAAATATTGGATTTCTCTTGAAAATAAAATCCAGCAGGTTCCTCTGACAGGAAAGCAAGCCAGGGAGGAATGCTGGATATAAAAATTTATGGAACACAAAATGGGTTTAATAGCAACTCTGTGAAGTCTTGGAAAAATCAGTCCCTGTGGAGTGGCAGAGCCCATTTTTATGGTTTAAGGCCATAAAAGTGTTGTGTGTGTGAGGGAAGGATTAAAAATGGATTTGATTGTGGTTCATAAATCCCTGAGGATCCAAAAGCTCTGCTCTGGGTATGAATTCCTGGTGGGAAAGGTTTGCCAGGGTGCTGGAACTCTGGCTGCTGAGAATTCCAGACTTTCTGTGGTGCTCACACATTTAATCCCAACCCTGGCAAAAAAGAAGTTGAGACTCAACATCTGGGAGAGTTCCACTGGAGAGGCTGGCAGTAAATAAAATAAAGAAGTAAAATCTGGCTGCTGCAGTTCTCTGTCCTGAGGTGAGGTTTAGCCCTGAGCTGAAGTTATCCATCACTTGATCACTAGGGCTGCGTTTTCCAGGAAATCTCCACCCCTCTCTGGTGATTTAATGAGCCTGGGAGATCAGATTTAGATTTAGAGGAGTGGCAACACCTCATTTATTTTTTCCAGGAGTGAAAATGTCCTCGTTTCAGATCGGATGAGGAGATGGGATGAAAGCCTTTCATAATTCTGAAAGGAATTGCTCTTTTTAGGCCAGTCTGTTATTAATCATAAAGATGGATATGTACAAAAGAAGATATTTTTACATCTACACTAAAATTCTGAAAATTCCACAGTGACAAATGGCTCTTAATAAGAAGAGGATATAAAGGGGGAGAAAGAAAAGAAATGTTAAAAATTATCCCTGTGGCAGCTCTGAGGGGGCCGAGGCAGAACAAAGATTAAAACCGCAAAATTCCAGTTCTTATTAATTAATTTACCAAATAACTGCATCATATTTAACAAAAAATCCACATTTTAGCTGTGTGGAGAGAAATAACTCCCCTCTGGGAGTGCTTGATGCCATTGCAAATAAATCTGCACAACAGAAACCTCTGTTTTGCAAAGTGTGAAAGAGTTTCCAGAAGACAGCAATAAAACCTGGGAAACTTCACACAAAGCAGGATTTTATGGGAATAAATACCCGACCAGGAAAATTTCCCCACAGAAGAAATACCCACTATTACACTGAAAAGAAATTCCTGTTTCTTACAAGAAGAAGAAAGAAATTCCTGTTTATTTCTCTGGACCACAGCCCCAGAAAAACTAGGACATGTGTAAAAGAAATATCTAAATAAAGAGGATTCATATCCAGGGAAAGGTCTGAAGCTCTGTCAAAATAATATGAATAAAGCAGCAGCAGTGCTGATTATGTTGGCAGGGCAGAAATGCAGAAGATTTGCTTTCTACAAGAAAATACATCAAGATTAAGAAAATTCTGCAAGAAAAATCAAGAATTTTTTAATCAAGATTTTAAAAAAATCTGCCTCAAAAATCTCATTCTCAATTAATCAATTTTGTCACCCAGAAATAAAAGAGAAGGTAGATAAATAAAAGAGAAGGTAGATCCATTTTTCTGAGAGGTGTTCCCACCAAGCATGGCCAGAGCTGACTGAAAACAGCTGAACGTTCCAAATTTGTGGGGTGTGGAGAGCAAGAAATATAAAATAGTTTAGCAAATGATGTATTTCTGTGTATTTTAGCCTCCCCCATGGGCTGATTCCTCAGTGGGAGAGAAACTTCTGGCAACCTCCCCATTATTATCCATCACCTACACCCCATTTTCCTTCTGCAGCTCCATGGAATTTTCTGCTTCCTCAGAGTTACAAAGCACCAGGGATCCAAACAGAATTTTAAAAGCAGGGAGATACAAGAAAATTTAGTTTAAATAAGCTCAGGAATAGTTCATTCTGATGACATTGATAAATACTGTTTTAAGACAAGTTTGAGATAAATACAGGCAGGCTGATGTGGCCACTTTGGGGGCTAAAAAAAAATCACTGAGCTGATTCAAAAATCACTGAATATTTTCCTAAAAAGCCCAAATTTCAATTCCCTGTCTTTCCTCCTAAAACAAGCTCCCTGGCCCTCACTCTGTGCTGATTTATCTCCCAGAGGCATTTTCTGCACTGCCCAGGTGGATCCTCAGCTCTTGCCCGTGGTTGTTGACACAGCTGGGAGAGGGAAGCCAGCACACCCCGTTATTATTTTGTATTTATATTATTATTAACCCCCAAATGTCCTTTTGATGATTCCCTGCTGGAATGTTCCTTTGCACATTCCAGGCCCTGTGCACCATTCCGTGATCCCAGCATGAGCTGGAGGAAGGTTTCGTGCTGCAGGGAATTAAAATTCCTTGCTGCTCTCTAAAGAGCCCTTCCAGTCTCTGCTGCAGCTGGGCTGGGTTTTGTGGCAGCTTTGGGGTTCCCTCGGTGCTGGGGATGGAGTCAGGCAGCTGAATCCTCCTGGAAAAAGGATGGAGCACTTCTGGGGATGGAACCAGGCAGCTGAAATCCTGGAGAAGGGATGGAGCGTGTTTGTTCCCACTGTTGATAACTTCCAAGGTGAATGAGGGCAGGAGAGGGAACAAGAGGCAATGGCAGGGAGAAGGAATGTGAGATCCCTGAGCAGTGGAAAATCCCTGATTCCCATCCTGGGCTGTCACTTTTAGCAGGGTGTTCTGAAGGAATTTTCTGCGGATGAATGACAGGAAGAACAGTCTTTCAATATTCCAGTTCATTCTTTGAATGAATGATCTGGTGGAGAATCACAAAATAGAATCCCAGACTGGTTTGGGTTGAAGAGACCTTACAGCTCATCCACTTCCACCCCATGCCATGGGCAGGGACACTTCCATTATCCCAGGCTGTTCCAACCTGGCCTTGAACACTTCCAAATGTACTTCATTTTCTTTAAAATCCTGTTAATAAAATCTCCCATAGCGTTTGACAGACCTGTGCTTGTTAGGACTACAAATATTTCCACTACAGGTGTAAAGCTGTTATAAAAATGCTGCTATATTTTTACTAGAAGCAAATAAATTTTCTTTCTTACTGCTTCAGTCAGTTCTTGTACAATGTGTTCTGAAGATCTGCAAGATAGCAAGGGTGGTATCATCCCTGATTTAAAGTAAAAATCCAGAATGATCCTAGAAATTAGAGAACAGCATGGTCAGAACTTGGTCTCAAGAATTCCCAGTTTAATCAGCTCCTAGTCCCAGGGTGGGACTGGGCTTTGTATCTGTGCCATTCTGAATTTCAACCTGTTTTAGGCAGCTTTTCCTTCCCAGTTAATTTATTTTGCCCCTGACAGCAGAGCAGGTATCAGGTGAGTGATGCCCCAGCCCGGGCAGCATGGGGGAAGAACGGAGGGGAATAAATATTGGTGCCAGTTCGGAGAAAGCAGAGCCCAGCTGAGCAGGTGTTGCCTTTTCTCCAACCTGGAAATGAAACTTGAGATAATTTTAGTAAGGAGGTAATAGGAAAGGGGATCTTTATTTGAAAGCCTTCGGGGCAGTTCTGGGTTTCACAGCTGCCCTAATTCCCTGGCCAACTTTTATGGGACACTCATTGGTGACACTGTCAGTGTCACCCTCGAGCTGAAATAGGCTGTGTCCCATCCTCTGGGCCAATTCCTTGCATATTCCATGCACATCCCTGTGCTTTTGCAGATCCCAGCTCCATGCTCTCACTTGGTTAATGACCTGTCTTGGTGCAGAGCTGAGGAAGCTCCTGGACTGGTCTGGCGGGTGTGGGGAGCTGTGGGAAATGGGGTGACTGAGGCAGGCAGCAATGCCCTAATTAAACTCTGGGATTTGCATCCCAAACAGCAGCAAGTCAGCCCCAGCAGTGCAGCCCAGATTAATTCCTGATCGAGTCAGAAATTCCTTATCCAGTTTCTGTGGGGTGTCCTTGTCTTAGGCTGCAGTGCAGGATGGAACCAGAGCTGTCTATTCTACACCAGCTGTTGAAACCAGGTGGAGAAATGTTCTTCATCTCTTCCATGGCCCATCCCTCATAACTCCAGGGGGACATCCTCTGTTGATGGGCCAGCTGTTGGAACCATGAAATATAGAAAAGCTCAAACCTGAGGCATCACTTCCACACAAACCATCCCAGGATTCTGTGAGAAGCTGATAGTCAGATGCTGCTAGCTTAGCTAGAGTAGCAGGACCTAAACCATATTTTATTTTTCCTTTTCTTAACCAGAAAAGTTCCAGTTCTTAAACAGAAAAGTTGATTTTGTTGGAAAAGATGAGGGGGAAAAGCAGAAGGTTGAGGGAGTAGGGCAGGGTTTGCTGGCAGGTGAGCTCAGGCTGTGTTTGGGATGGGAGGGAAGGTGAGGCTCAGACATGGCTTGTGGCACATCGTCCCCATGCGAAGCTGATTCATATTTGGAAATGATCTGGCTGCAGGCAGATAGTTTAGAACACCATCTATTATGCAGATTCCTGCCTCGTTTACTTGCCCAATTAGATCATTAAAATGCCTCCAGCATTTGTGGCCTGCTCTTATTTTGCAGCTTTTCTGAGGAAAACTCACCCTCTTTTCCTTGTCCCCAAATTCCCTCCACCCTGGGGTTTCTGGATGAGCTTTGGGAGATGCAGAGATTTGGAGCTGTTTGAAAATGATTCTGATCAGAGGTTGCAAAAGAAGGTGGTGGCTTCACTTCAGACCTTCCTGTGCCACATTTTTGTGGCTGCTTAACCCCGTAATTCTGTGTAGACATTAAATTGCCCCTTGCAGGAGCTCAAAGCCCCACAGGGGCAGAGGTGTTTTGGGAGGTTTGAAATCAGGAAGGCATTAACTGTAAATATTTTTTTGCCTGGTGTGCTCCTCCCTGCAGAGTCCTTGAGCTTGGGCTCAGCTCCAAGAGCCAGGTGCTGTGTCCTGAGCGTGGTGCAGACAGAGCATGAATTATTGCATAAATCGGAGTCCTGTGGCCAGAGGAGATTTCAGCAGCTGAGGAGGAGGGCGGGGAGTGGAGGACACGCTCTCTAATTGAGGATCAGAGCTCCTGGGCTCTGCCTCTCCGTCCACACAGCAGCTGCTCCCTGCCAGGCTCCACAGCATCCCCTGCCCGGCCGTGTTGGGGCACAGGTGAGTTCTGCTTTTTATAACCCCAATTTTTCCTCAAAGTGATGCATTTGGTGGGAAGAGGCTCAGGTGCCACCTGATTTAGTAAAAACTGTGTGTAAGGGCAGAAATGGGATGGTTAATGAGGATATTGCCACAAGTAATTGTTAATATTTCAAACTACAGAGGCATTTGTTTCGCTCACCTGGCAGGAAGAAAAGAGGTGGGGGAGATATGGAAGCCAAATGTCACTAAAATCTCTGGGAAGTGGCTTTTTTAGGGTAAAACCCCACTCTGTTTGGGGCTATGGAGTTAATGGCATGTAATTTCTGAGGGATACATTTCTTTCCACACCACCAGGATTTCTTTACTTCCCAATTAAAAAGTGGGAAATCAGAGTTTTTGGTTTGTTTCCTCTTATTCACCAAAGGACAGAAAGTTTCAATAACTGAAACAGTCCTGCTTTCCCTTTTCCTCTCCAGTTCTGTGTCCTGCTGGTGCCATAATGCAACACTCAGTAACTACTACCATTGATTTATTTCTTCTTTAAAAGAAATTTATTGTAATTATTATTTTACATTTTCATATATTATATATAATATTTTCTTCATTCTGGCAACAGATCAATTCAATCCCTACTGCAGAAAAAGCTGGGTAACCTGGATGTAGTTTCCTTTTATTGGAATTCTGTTTGTGTGGAGTTCTCCATGCTCTCAGTTTGTACCTGGAACTGGAGCACGAGACATAAAATCCAGTCTGCAGTGGTAGGAATCAGCCTTGTAGCAAATTCTGTGTAGAAATCCACAGGTGGGAAGGAGGAGGAGGAGGAAGGAGAGAGGGTTTAATGGGAGTTTTAATTAAGCTGCTCCAACAGAGCCTTGAGTAACCCAGTGCAAGGTGAAATTCTGGCAGATCTTGGCCTGGGGAATGGAATTGCCACAGCTCGTGGATGAAATATCTCCCAGGGAGCCTCCTTGGTGAGGCTGGTGCAACGTGAGGTTCCCGTTTCCAGGTTCCCATTTCCATGATCACCCACCCTTCAGGAGCAATGTGAGGTTCCCATTTCCAGGTTCCCCTTTCCATGATCCCCCATCCTTCAGGTGCAAGGTGAAGTTCCCATTTCCATGATCCCATTTCCATGATCCCCCATCCTTCAGGAACCACGTGAGGTTCCCATTTCAAGGTTCCCATTTCCATTATTCCCCCATCCTTCAGGTGCAACGTGAGCTTCCCATTTTTGTGATTCCCCCATCCTTCAGGTGCTACATGAGGTTCCCATTTCCAGGTTCCCATTTCCATGATCCTTCTTCCTTCAGGAACAATGTGAGGTTCCCATTTCAAGATTCCCATTTCCATGATCCCATTTCCATGATCCCCCATCCTTCAGGAACAACGTGAGGTTCCCATTTCCAGGTTTCCATTTCCATGATCCCCCATCCTTCAGGAACAACATGAGGTTCTCATTTCCAGGTTCCCATTTCTGTGATCCCCAACCCTTCAGGAACAACATGAGGTTCTCATTTCCAGGTTCCCATTTCTGTGATCCCCCACCCTTCAGGAACAACGTGAGGTTCCCATTTCCAGGTTTCCATTTCCATGATCCCCCATCCTTCAGGAGCAATGTGAGGTTCCCATTTGCAGGATCCCCCATTTTTCAGGTGCAACCTGAGGTTCCCATTTCTGTGATCCCCCACCCTTCAGGAACAACATGAGGTTCTCATTTCCAGGTTCCCATTTCTGTGATCTCCAACTTTTCAGGTGCAAGGTGAGGTTCCCATTTCCAGGTTCCCATTTCCATGATCCCCCATTTTTCAGGTGCAAGGTGAGGTTCCCATTTCCAGGTTCCCCTTTCCGTGATCCCCCACTCTTCATCCCACAGGGAGCTCTGGGACAGGGATGGATGTGAAGAGCACCCCGAGTTACCTGTACTGGCTCTTCTGCCAGTTCGAGCTGATCACCTGCAGTTACCTGATGGAGCCCTGGGAGAAGGTGCTCTTCTACTCCTTCAACCTGGCCATGCTGGGGCTGCTGCTCTACACCACCTACGTCTGCCTGGCTTTCCACGCCAGCTCGGCCTTCCAGCTCCTCTGCAGCTTCCTGGGAAACCCACGGGAAAATGCTCTTTCTGTGGTGAAGTAAAACCTCAGCATCAAAGAGTTTCCTTATCCCATTTTTGTCCAGGAGCAGCAAACTCTGCTTTATTCTCTGTGTTTTGCTCTGATAGCAAATTGTTTTTGCTCCAATCAATCCATGTTTTTACTATTTGATTCTTCAAGAGCTTTCAATTTTAATGACCCACTGGAATTACAGAGCTGGGATTGGGACAGGAACAACTCTCCTGAAGAATTTGTTATTCCAAGGGGAAAGGAACAACCCCCCCTGCAGATTTTGTTATCCTAGGGGGAAGGAACAACCCCCCTGAAGATTTTGTTATTCTAGGGAAAGCTGCTTGGACATGGGAAGTTTTCACCTGGAGAAATGAGACAGCATGAGTTTGTTCTGTTATTCCAGGGAAAGCTGCTTGGACATGGGAAGTTTTCATCTGAGAAATGAGACAGAATTTGTTTTTGTCTGCCAGAAGAGACGTGCACACAAAAATCCTGGACGAGTGGGAGCTGCTTCCCTGAGCTTGCTGTGTTTTTATGGAATGATTTCATGATTTATTCAGTCTCCTTGATTGTTTTATACAATGAATTACTTGGCTGGCTCGTTATCATGATGCAAACAATGCCACTGATTCATGTGAGGATGTGCTGCTCTGAAAATTTCTGATGAAATTCTCAGATTCTTGGGCTTTATAAAAACATAATTTTTGGTTTACATTAGAAGATGAGTAAATCACGTGCATCATATAGAGAATGTAACACTACAGGTTCACTTGTGATAGGGTTTCAGCTGAAAATAAACCCCTTAAAAATGTAAAAATACAATGTCTCCTTTTTTCGTAACCCTTTAATCCCTCCTTTTCACCTTTCACACTCTCCCTGTTGAGCAGTGCCTGAACCACAAACTCCTGAGCTGTAAATAACACGCTGGATTTGGCTGGGACTATTTTGTTCCAAATTCCAAGAGTTTTTAGCCTTCAAACCATCAGATTCCTGTGCTGCCAGCTCCCTGCAGTGGGCAGGAGCTGCTCTGGGATGAGCTTGGCAATGAGAGTCGGGGTTTGGAATCCTCAGGAGATGAAGGGAGCAGAGCAGGACACACAGGGTGACACAAATCCACATTTTCCACCCACACTGAGGTGAGTTTTGGGACTTTTTCCAAGCTCTTGGGATGTCCTCTCCTTCCAGAGGATGGGTTGTTGCTGTAGGTGGCAATCCAGGGAATTAGGGAATGAGGCTTGGTGACAGGAGGCGACAAAACAAAGTGAAGACATCAATTATGTCATTTGTCACCTCAGCTGCTTTCCCAGTTTATAATTATGGGGAAATAAGGCAGGAGATGAAAATAATTTCTCTGGGAAAATGAGGATAGCTGTGCTCAAGCTCCCATTGAACAATGCCCAAGTGTCTCTAAGTTTGTTAAAAAAAAAAGAAAAATCAATACTTTTGAATTTGGATCCAATGGGATGCTTTATTCAAGTAATATAATGGTTGAAGTAGTGATTAGTGTAGATTTGCTTTCATGCTTATCCTGTATGTTATATTTACTGATATTTATCAATATAATTTGTATTTACTGATGTTTAGGAACAAGAGGGAGCACACAATATTTTAATTATATCAATCATTAGACTATACTTGGAGACTGATTTTTTTCCCAGCCTGTCAGTCCCTAATACAGAGAAATACAGGCAGTACTTTGCATTACAGGTACAAAATCTGTATTTCTCAAGACTGTGTAAATAAATATTGCTCAAGATGTGCCTGGGAGTGAGCCCAGGGCAGGAGCAGGGCAGCCTCAGCTCCAGCAGGACTCCACAAGGACATCCTGAGCATTTCTGGGCACTCAGGGATCCCACAGCAGGCGGGAGGAGCAGGACCTTTGCTCTGGGTGTGTTACTGCTGCTCTTTCCCACGTGGGGTTTGGGGCTGCCTCCAGTGCCTGGTGTCTCTTTCACAACAGGGTAGGATTAGGATGGGATTGGCGTGGGGCTCTGCTCCCATCCCCAGATCCCAGCTGGGCTGGAGGAACGGGACAGAGCCAGGAGAGCACCAAAATCCAGCAGAGGAAACAAGGGGCCAAGTGGCAGCTGGAGCTCCCCAGAGTTCCTGATTCATTGTCCTCATCACCCCCTTTTCCCTGCCTGTCCCAAGCCTCCAGGATTGAAAACATTTCATCCCATTTCAGTTCCCAGCACTGCCTGGGCAGGTTCCTGCTGGAGCACCGGGAGCCTGAGGGGTCTGGATTTGTCAGGTCAGGCTTGGCTGGGAATGGGATCAGGATCAGGCTGAGCTGGGCCAGGGAGGTGTAGGGTGGAGAGCAGGGAAAGCTTCTTCCCCCCGAGGGTGCTGCGCAGTGCCCAGCCTCCCCAGGGAATGGCCCAAGGCTGCTGGAGCTCCAGGAGAGATTGGGCACCACTCCAGGGATGCCCAGGCTGGGATTCTTGGGGTGGAACAGGCTCTTTCCACGTTTCTCCAGATTTTTCCAAGCAGCTCCACAGGCTGCTCTGAGTGGCCACAACACTGAGTTTTTCCCACCTGATGCTCAATGATCCAAACCTAAATGAATGAATGAATGCATGGCTGGAGCAGGAAGCGTTCCAAGAGGAATGGGAAATGGAATATTCCCTGCACACCCTTCCCTGAGCACGCCAAGCTCAGCTGGCTCTGTCCCAGGGAAGTTTCTGTCCTGGCATGAAGGAATGCAAGGGTAACATTCAGCACCTTTCAGATCCCTGCCATGTGAAAAGGAAATATTCAAACTGCACAACTTAACCCACACTGCTTCACCAGAGTGAAACTAAAGAACAGAACAAGAACCAGCTGCTAAAATCAAACTGCTCGTGCTGCTCACCAGGAGACCTTTGATGTTTCCAGCCAGAACATCCAGCTGGATTCCCATGGAGCCGTGCTGCTCACCAGGAGACCTTTGATGTTTCCAGCCAGAACATCCAGCTGGATTCCCAGCATCCTCCTTAGGAGTGATTTTATTGCAGGACTTTCACACCTTATCTCCCATTAAACTTTAATTTTATTGACCCAAAGACTTTACACTCCCTCAAGGCACTAAAGATGTTTCTGTCCATGTGGAATTTCAGCCCCTCTGCTGCTGGTCACTTCAGTTTTTAGAAACTTTCTAAGGTAATTCTTACTCCTTGTTACTGTCATTGTTTTGCACTCCAACAGCTGCACTTTGCTTTCTTTCCAGCCACGTGTAATTGCAGTTCTTATCTTTGCTCTCCATTACCTGACCTGAAAATCCTGCTTGCAGAATGAACCTGTCAGCACTTCCTGGCCTCTGCATCCCACGGGCCATTTCCATCTTGCAGGGATTGCTCAGAGCAGGGGGGAGTTTCTGCAGATCTGTTTGCTTTTCCAGAGCTGACCTGAAATTCCTCTGTCCTGCCTGGCTGAAAGTTTCTGCTGAATTCCCTGCTCAGCTGAAACTGCTTCATGCAACAGTTGAGTTCCAGTCTCCCCAAGACAGGAACTGCTCCTACCTCTACTGCTGACATTTCCAGTACAGAGCAGAGATGTCATATGAAATAGGATTTACTTTGATATTTTTCCAGGAATTTTTTCCAGGGATCAAGGTGTGAAGCACCATCCTCAGAGCACAAATTCTCAGCAGGATGTGCAAACAGCACCAAATATTTCACAGCTTCAGGAGTTTCCTTCCATCTCACAAATCTCACTGACCAGAGATGAGTTTAAAATTGGCTTTCAAGGCTTTTCAGTCCTTGTTGGGGATTTGTGTCATCCCAAATGCTTTCATTTTAGGAAGGTGAATATTTAAATTGCACAAAATCCCTTCAGTTTCTTGCTTCACCATCAGGCTTTGGTTTTCTTTGGAACTGAAACCCGGACAAGTTTTAAACTTCATTTTCTCTTTCTGACTTGGCTTAACCAGGTTCATATCTTGTATTTTGGAGGAAATAAGAGATTCTGACAGCGACAAAATTCTTTGTTGCATGATTATGTCCTGGAACGAGCTCCAGGAAACATTCCCAAATGCCTCTGGATTTCCAATTGCCACCACTCCTTTCACCTGCTCTGGGAGGTGCAGCTGAAACAAAAGGCCCTGAGTTGAGATCAGTCTGCAGGAGGAGCAGTTTGCTGACATTAAACCCTCCAACACAAAGTTCCAAGCAGTTTTTGTCTCATTTTCCTTTAGCTTGGTGTTATTTTGAATTGAAATACCAAGAACTGCACGGGCATCACGAGTTTTTGCTGAGTTTTCAGCCCCTTTTCCTCGGAGCAGGGAGCAGCTCCTGGGCATGCAGGAACAGTGACACCAGGTGGGCTCTCACCTTCAGCACAGGCACATCCTGATTTTTCCATGGAGAACGGGAATAGATGGGAATGGATCCATCTCTGTCAGTCCCAGGGTGGAAATGGAGCCAGATTCTTCCCACTGGCACTCCAGTGAAATGATTCCAAATCCCAAAAATCCAACAGAAGGAATCTGTCTCCTTGTCTAACTTTTTATGTTAAACTTCCTGACACAATAATCCTCCAGAATTCCCTATTTTAAGCTGCTTCCAAGAGTAAGACACTGAAATAACACGGATTTTGTTGAAGTCCCCACCAGATCAGTGTCTCAGTTCCTCGGCTTGCAAGCTCCCAAAATTGGCCCAGGAGCTGTCCCTGGAGTGCAGCCAAGCTCAGGCACCTGGCCCGGGGTTAAAAGTGTTTTCCCATCAATATTTCACCTCAGCAATTTCCATCTGGGAAAACTTGGGACCCCTGGAGTTACATCAGGCCATCCACTAACAGGTTTTTAAAGCAGTTAAAGGTGAAATGATCACCTTAAGCTTTTCGTCATCAACACACAAAACTTTTATCTAGGGAAAAATAAATCAAAAATGAATGTTTGCACACCCCAATCCCCTTTTTCTGTTCATTTTTCCCTCAATTATCCAGCTTTTGTGCTCTAAGGTCTGACTTATACAACACATTTTTTCACCATTTTCTGTGAGCAAAACATAATTCCAAAGTTCTGCACAGCTTCTCCCATGACTTCCAACTCAAAATTCATCAACATCTGGGTGGAAATGCATCATTGAGCAGGTCTGACTTTAAATCCTGAAGGATTTCTGTTGTATAAAAGGAGCTTTTTGTGGCTTAACTCACAGATTTTCAGGAAGAGCTGCAGGGCAAGTGGCAACTTTTATCCATGACAATGAATGCCTTTGTTAGCTCCAGTGGCAGTGAAAATACTGGCAAATATTTAATTTGTTGGACACTCCCATAACCCCTCTGAGCTCCCAAAGGGGCACTGGAAACTTGGGAACCTACAAAGAGACCCAACTTTGGTTGTGGGGAGCTGCCCCAGCCAAACAAACCCCACAAACCCAGGCAATCCTTGGAGTCAAGGCTTCAGCAGCACAAGATCTCCTGCTGAAAAACCCATGAAAGCTTTTCCAGGCTGGCAGCAGAGCAAGGAAGGGGGGAAAGGAAGAGGGAGATCTCCAGGGATAAACAGGATGAGACAGCACAGCAAATATCCAACATTCCTGAGAGACTCCAGCAAGGGAAACAGGGAGGAGGAAAAGGATTGATGAAAACAGCAGAGTTGAAACCCAGATTTTATTACTCCCCCATCACCTGCCACCAACAGGGAGTTCATTATTTCGTCCTCTTTGGACAGTGCAACTGGATTTGAAAATGAACTAAAAAATGATGAATTAAAGTATCTTGAGAGGTTTTTAATCCTTTATAGCTGGTTTATTAATTAATTGCTGAGCATGTTGCTTTTAATCCACTGATCCAGACATGGGATAGAGTTCAATACTCATCACACTCCACAGGATTTTACAATCTTTCTGATCAAGGGCTTTGCAGGGAAGTTTTCTTCGTGTGAGGGAACAGAAATTAGTCTTGAGCTTCCTCAAATATGGATATATGGAATAATCTACCAGTATCATAAAAGGCTTCAAACCATTGTGCCAAAAAATGGGGAAAACCTTCCCCATGTGAGAAATTAAAGCTGTAACAGTAGGTAGGGACTCTACCTAAAATCCAGCAAACTGGAATAAAATCTTTCCCTCTGGACATCCTTCCTTATTTTCTCCACTGCAGAAATTGCATGGAAAGATCCCTCAGGGATGGGAGGAACTTGTGGAATTTATATTGCAATGCTTCCACCCGAAATTGAACTTTAATTGCTGATTCTCTGGAATATCATCTGTAAAATATGAATTCCAGGCCATTATTTTGGGGTGCAGTGGGAGTTCTGTCACTTTTCCTGGCCTTGTGGTGGTTAATTATGGTCTGGGGAGGTTTTCCTCCCCAAGGGAATATTTCTTGGATGTAAGGCACTGTCCTTACTCTGTCAGCATTTCTGCTCCCTCCCCTCCAGTGGCGTCCTGGGAAATGTGGAGATCTTCCAGCATTTCAGCCAGGCTGATCCGTGGAGCTCCATCATCATCTGTGTCACTCTCCACTGGAATATCTGCATCTAAAAACACAAAGAAACCCCCCAAAGAAACAGCTAAGCAAAGAAAACAAACCCCAAAACACCAGAGCAACCCCAAGGGAAAATGGGGGAAAAAATGAAACCAACAACACCAAAAAACCAACCAACCACAAAACAAAAACCCAAAAATTCCTCCTAAAAACTCAACAGTCCCCTCATGGAAAAAAATTGAATTCTGTATCAAATCCTTCACCCAGCAGAGATTTTGGGTACAAGAGGAAACTTCTCTTTCACTTAAAGGCAAGGAAACAAAACCCATCAGGGGAAACACATCTGTGAAATACTTTACAGCATTTCTCCAGGCATGAAGAGTTTGGAGAATGCAAACAGAGAATTCCAGTAAAACTGTTTTGCCTCAAACATGATTTAATTACACCCACTGAAGGAGTTAGAAAGGGCTTACTTCTGTAAATGTTGACATTTTTCCTTATGTTCTCATCCTCTTCCAGATCTTCCAGGAAGTCCTGGTATTGTCTGTAAAAGATGTGGGATGTATTTAATCCCTGTTCCTTTGGATTTATGGAAATTCATGCAACAAAGTAAAATCAGAGAAACAAAACTCCAGCAGACCTGAGAGCATCCCCACATTTCCAGCTCATTCTCGCCGCTCTTCTACCCTCACCTATTAATTCCCAACTCATTTATCTCCCATTTTCTCCTTTTTTCCTCTCAGCTGGGGTTATTTAGAAGCTGCTTTGTCACTGAACAAGGAGAGCAGATACTGAACCTTTCATCATCTGTGTCTGAGGCTTCCCTGTCCCTCTCCAGCTCCTTCAGCTTCCAGTTCCTGCGGCGCTGCCGCCTGGAGCGGTCGTAGCTCTTCTTGATCAGCACCTGCAGGGAAAGCAGCTCCTTTTTCCACCTCCCAAAATCCCAAACCAGCACCCAAATCCACATTTGGGCATCTAGAACCAGCGGGACTGGCACGCAGCAGTGTTATATTGAATTTACAGGGAGCTTGTTGGTTCAAATGTTTGCAAACACTTGGGAAGTGGTCCTGAAGGGACAGGCACACACTGGAGTTATTATTTCAGCAGCCAGTGATTGGTAATTGGAATAAAACCAACAATTAATGTATTATCTGACCATGGCAATTGGAAAAAACCCAACAATAAATGTATAACTTAACTATCACTAAAATATTTAAGGAAATAATCCTTCAAAATCAAATGATGCTCAAATTTCAGTGTTAATATCCTCTCTTGCTTCAGGCACTGCTCATTATAAAATCACATTCCCTCCTGGCTTGGGTGATGGAGGGAACTTTGGACAGAGAAAGGGATTTTCTTACCACGTCAGGAATATGCTGGGGGTTCATCTTGTTGGCAAATTCATCATTTAGGTTGCAGTTGGCCAAGTCAAAGCTAAAATAGAAACAGGGGTTTTATTGTGCTTTATAAAAACCCAACCTCAATGCATCATGTTTGTGCTAAAGGGCAGCTCAGTGTAAGGTGCAGCTCCTAAGGAACAGAAATATTTCCAGAGGAAGGGAAATGAATAAAAATCCAGGTAATTGTCCAGCTCTCCTAAGTCTGAGCAGCTGCTGTTCCCAAATCCTGTTCTGCTGGCACTTCCCAACCTCTGGAATCCAAACTGCAACATCCACTGAAGTTCTGCTGGGCTCACAACATTCATGTTTAAACCTTTGTAAGCATCACTTTATTTGCCTAATCCTACAAAGAATTAACATTTGTTATCACTGTATATGATATTAATTAGCAAATAAATAATTAATTGGAGTTTTAAAAATACTTCCCATTTATTTGTGGCTAAACTGTGATTCCAAGCTGCACTCTGAAGGCAATCAGCTCTCTTATTTCTAACAAATTTTACATGAAAACTCCTTCTAGAAAACAGATTTCCTGGATTAGGACCAGGATGATTCCACCCCTTTTGCTGCCTTCATTTTGAATTCAGAACAGTTCAACACTTTCTTGCTAGCACATGAATTCAGTCATTAAATAATCATTCAACAGAAGTTTCAGAGAAGAAGAACAGACCCCAAGACCAGGTCCCCAGGACTCAGGATGTGCCCCAGGTGAGTGCAGCAGAAATATTGGTGATCTGTGTCCAGCTCCGAGGTTTTCCTGACCCAGGCTTCAGCCAGAGTGTGCTTTGGGAGAGAAAAATAAACATTTCTTAACCAAACCCAGCTTAACCCCAACATCTGCACTGATTTAAACTCCACTTGTCATTAATCTTGTGTTTCTGCATCACATATCCAATGTATCCCCTGCTACTTCTCATTTCTCATTCCATAAAAGTAAGGAAATGGACATGGCAACTCCCACGAATTCCCAAAGTCTATTTCTATAAATATTTTAGCTTTTAACTGAGAAGATCCATTAATTCTGATTAAAAAGAAATTCTTCAACAAAACCCATTCAGTCATTAAAGCTGCAAAATTAATATTTCTATCCCCACTAACAAGCAGAGTTTAAACTCTGCAAGCAGAATTCCTGGAAGTGGAATTCACATCCTGCCTGTGCCATTTCCAAACCAAATGGTCCCAAGGAAAGCTTCTGCCAGTGGCAAGACCCAGAAGAGCCCAGCCTGACTGTGCCAGGCAGACCCAGATCATGAATTCAGCTGAGCACAAGGCCCAAAACATGAATGAAACAGAGACATTCTCACCTTGTTTGACCGAGCCCCTGCCCCAGCACCTTTTTTCCTCTCATTGACCCTGTTGATGTCCATGATGATGAACTCCTCCAGCTGCTTGGGGTGGAACAGGCTGTTGAAGGGGTGGCGCCAGTAGGTGTTCCCATCAATTTCAGCAACTGCAAAATCATCAGGGGGAGAATTTCTTGTTAAAAAAACCCATTAGCCAAAATGAAGGGAACTGCCAGACACGTTCTGTTCATCTCTGTAACAGTTATTTAGGACATGACCCACATTGCTGCAGGAGCAGCTGATCTGTGCCAGACTTTACTCAAAGGAATTATTCCTGGATCCATCCTTTTAGAGGGATTCTGCTGCCCAGGCGCACCAGCACACATCAAGCAAAGCACAGAATTTCTGGTACTGAAGTGGCTGAAAATTTAATCCAGATGCCATCTAATTGCAGGGGAATAAAGCTGACACAAGTAAATGCTCAGAACATCCAGGAGCTCAAACTGAGCCTGCACATTCTGCCCAGGATCCTATGGGAATCAAGCTAGGAGAACTCTCAGCTCATTACGAAATTTCTACTGTACAGACAAATTTAACAACAGTAAGGTCCAAAGAGCCAAGATTTTGTGGAAAGAAACCCACAGTAATTGTGCCAGCAGAACAATCAGGGGCTGAGGAAAACCCAAACTCACTCTGCAGAGTTCTGGGGTCGATGAGGTGGATGGTGCTGGTCACTCTGATGCACACACAGATCTGGCTCATGTTCCCCAGACTCTGGGCCAGCTTGGGTGACAGACACACAACGTTGTCCTGCAAACCAACACAAACAACTGACATTCCCATTTCCTCAATTTTCAACCAAATCTTCTGAAATACAATTTTAAACTTTGTGGTTTTATTTTTCTAGCCCCAGTAACTTCTGCATTTCCTGTGTGGATCCCTCCCTACCCCCCAAACCCTACAATCTCCAAATGCCAGCTCTTCCCACAACACCCTAAAGGTGAAGCAGAGGGAAGCTACCTTGCATATGGGAACAATTTCCACAGAGAAAGTGCTTTTGTAGTTGTAGACATTACTGTGAATGTCGTGGGAGATCAAACGCTGGGATGATTTGGATCTGTAAAACACAAAAACAGAGTTCTCAGGAAACAAGAGACACACCTGGAACAGGAGATCCTTGGAACAAAGTGTCTGCATCACAAATATTAAGGAAACAGAGGTAAATTTTACCATGGCTAAGTGGAAAATACAGGGCTTTTGTAGAAGGGATTTAGTCTGTTTTGATTAAAATACAGATTCCTTTCACTTGCCCTTACAAAATTCTTTTAAAAGGAAGGATTTAAGACAGTTCCCCAAAGTTCTGAGTGCTCAAGGCAATGGACAGGAGAGCTGTACCTGGATGGAACTGTACACTGAAGGAAGTCCACCATCTTCTGGGCATGTTGCTTGGAAGAGTAATAAAAATCCAGGCCATCTGAAAAGCAAAGAAACAAATCTATTTCTATTCTATCAAATATAATTAATAAGCTTTTCTCTACACAGCTCCCAGCACACACACATGAAAACATCCATCATAAATCCGGGTTATTCTGCCTCCAGACCCACTCACCGTGGATTTCCTTGATTCTTAGTGTGTTTTGATGGAGCCTGTGCTTCAAAATCAGCTGCTCCAAATAGTAAAAAGTCTTCTTGTGCACAGTCTAAAGCCAAACAAACACAAAAGCATCAAGATTATTTAAGAAGCATCCAGGACAAACCAGGATCTCTGAAGAATAAACATTTATAGGAAGTGATCACCTACAGAAAGAACATCCAAGTAAACAAAGATTTCAGAGTGCTCTACTTATACCAAATTATTGAAAGCTTCCATTTCTCATTTTTGTGTAACTGGTTGCTAGAGAAATCTATTTCCTTTAAAGAAAAATTAAGTATTTATCCCACTGTTTCCAAACTGCCTTAAAATACAGGAGGGTATTTAGTTATGCACACAAGATCCTCCTGCCAGCATCATTTTAAAGAATTTTAACACTGGACAGCAGAAAGGTTTTCTACACTGAGTAAGAAAAAATTCAATAACCTTGAACATAAAACACATCCCTGTGCCTAAGTGTGAGTACATTTTTGTCTGAGAAATCCAGAAAATCACCCAATTCTTTGCCTGGTTGTTCTGCCACGATCAAATAAAAATTCAGTTTGCCTCTACCTTCTGCCTGACTTGCACCACAGCTTTCCAGAAATCCTTGGCTTCAATCCTGTGACAGTCTTCACACATCTGAGACTGAACAACGTACTCCACCACAAACACCTGCTGCAGAACTGCCCCATTTATCACCTGCAAAACCAAAGTGTTCAAGGTTTAAGTTCTGTTTGGGTCACAAATAACTGCAGTATTTTCCCATCTTTACTGGAGCAGACAATAACTTTCTTCATTCTGATGAATGGCACTTTAGTGACAAAATTTAGGCAGGATGAAATTTAATCTTAAGAAAAATAATAATTTAAAAATCCTGTTGTTTGCCACGAAAGCTTTTTAAAAGCCAAAGGGAGAAGGTTATGTTCCAGTTACCTCTTTCTGAACAGTCAATTTGAGCTTGAGCCTCTTGGAATGTGGTTCTGTCCAAATGAATCCTGCATCAATCAGCCGGACCTGCCCGTGGGGAAGCACAAGAGCTCAGTAAAACCAAGCCTAACTCTACAAACACAAACGGTCTATAGCAATGAAGTGAATAATCTTAATTAAAAATAGATATATTAATATCCAAAATCCATTTAATAGTGCTTAGCTAGAACTTGGAGGATGATTGGCATAAAAACAAGATGTTCAATCTCAGGTCCTTCCCTCTAATAATATTCTGAACCTAAGGGATGCTTTATTCAACTGAAACGTGTGAATTTGAGTTAATCTATATACAGACCTCTGCAATCCTTTTTCATATCATCATAAATCAGTGAGAATAAATATTGCACAATTTCTCAAATGTGAAAAAAACTCGGAAATTAAGGTACATTAAAACCACATCATCATCCCTCGCCTAAGGGATGCTTTATTCAACTGAAACATGTGAATTTGAGTTAATCTATATACAGACCTCTGCAACCCTTTTTCATATAAGCCAGTGAGAAAGAATATTGCATAAATAATTTCTCAAATGCGCAAAAACTTCTGAAATTAAGTACATTAAAACCACATTGACTTCCCTCAGTTCATTCTGCTCAGCTCCCATCTCTACAGCAACAATTGTGGCCAGGCTGTGAAACCCCAGCAGGATCAGCTTCTCACCTTGCTCAGGGAAGCTTTGATTTTCTTCAGACACAAAGCCAGGAGCTCTCTCGATTCCAGGGCACACTGGATCCAGGTTCCTGGAGGCTGGAGGTACCTGGGATGCAGGCAGCATTTCACAGCAAGTTAAAGCTGCTTGAGCACCTTAAATCACTCCAAGGATGAGCAGCTACTTCCAGAGCTTTCAGTTTAGTAACACCAATGCAGTAACACCAATACAACTTTTAGAATCAAAGAATATCATGGCAAAGTGGCTAAGGGGACTGGGCTCGTTCGCCAAGCACTGCCAAAGCCTCCACTAAATATAATTTACGTCCCCAAACGTCACATCCACAGGGCTTTTAAACCCCTCCAGGGATGGGGATTTCACCAGTGCCCTGGGCAGCTGTGCCAGGCTGGACATCCCTTTCCATGAAAAACTTTTCCCAATATCCAAACTAACTCTTCCCTGGCTGTCCCCTCTTGTCAGGAATTGTGCAGAGCCAAAGGTTCCCCCTGAGCCTCCTTTTCTCCAGGCTGAGCTCCTCCTCACCAAACCCGTGTGCTTTTACCTCGCTAAATCCCGAGACCGATGCATTCCGAGGGCATTTTGCTGCCATCCCCCGCGATTTCGCGGCTCCTCACCTCTCGCACTGCTTGCAGAAGTGCACCGTGCCCTGCTTGGGGATGCCCTCGGTGATGTCCACCTGGGCCCGCAGGCAGCCCACGCACATGTTGGCCGGGTTGGGCGGGATGGGGACGCCGCACTGGCAGCACAGGCTGGGACACGGGGACAGAGAGAAGCACAGTTAGTCACGGTCACGGTCAGAGCCAGCGGGAACGCCGGTCCCCCCGCCACCGCTCACATGTGTCCCTGCGCCGGGGCCGCGGGCGCCGGCAGGTACTCCATGGCTGCGGAACACGCGGCGCTTTCCGGCCGGCAGAGGAAGGGGAGGAGACGGCGGGGCCAGCCCAGCCCGGCCCGGGGAGGGTGGAGCGAGGGGGACGCGGAGAGGCAGGCGGGAACTGTCGGGAACGCGGAGAGGTGCGGGAGGAGCCGTGGAGAGGCAGGCGGGGATCGTGAGGGGGCTGTGGGGGAGCCCTGAGGGAGCCCGGAAAGGGCCGTGAGGGGCCATGGAGAGGCGGGGGAAGCGGTGAGGGAGCCGTGAGGGGATCATGGCTGAACCGAGAGGGAGCGTGTTAAGGGCTGTTAGGGGACTGTGGAGAGGCGGGCGGGAGCTCTGAGGGAACCGTGAGGGCGCCGTGATGGAGGCGCCACGGAGAAGCATGAGGGAGCCATGGAGGAGCCGTGAGGCAGTCCAGAAAGGGCCGTGAGGGGCCATGGAGAGGCAGGGGAAGCGGTGAGGGAGCCGTGAGGGGGCCATGGAGGAGCCCTGAGGGAGCCCGGAAAGGGCTGTGAGGGAGCCATGGAGCAGGCGGGAACCGTGAGGGACGTACGCTGTTACAATTCATTAATTAGGCATTAAATTATATTTTCATTTACAAGGAGAAGCCTATGCTGTCTGTTCACTTTGTATTCCGTTTGTGATGTACCACAAGCACCCTGTGGAGAGGAGGAACCGCTGTGGCAAGGGGTGAGAATTAAATGATCTTTAAGGTCGTTTCTATCCCAGAGCATTCTGTGATTTGATGATTCTGTGACACCAAGGTTTGTTTGTGGATCAGCATTTGTTTCCTGCAGGTTATGCTGGAGAAAAATAAAGCTGAATTGCATCAACACGTTGTGTGGGATTTATTTAATGTGGTAACATCCTGATGGAAATGAAGAGTTCTTTCACTCGAGGACTGAAAATCACAGCTTGTCAAGCTGTCTGCCATGTTTATAATTCTTTGACACATTTTTCTTTAGTGTGCTGCTTGTGTTCACACAGTTACTTCTCCTCCTTTGAAATTAAGTTTCTCTGCAGACCTCTCTAGAGACTCACTGGACCATATTATTAAAACAATGAAAAAAACCCCACAATTTAAAAAAAAAAGTTTCCCTGCTCTGAAGTTTTGTTTCAGAACCTCTGCTACACAACGGGTGTTACATAGTTTTTGCTTTGAAGCTCTGATGAATCACTCAATGTTTGATTTAGGAAATAAAACACTTCCAGGCTGGCATTTGGGGAGTGGCGTTGGGAGAGGGGAAGGACAAAGCCTGTCCTTTGTGGAAGCCACATCTTTGAAGTCACTGGGAGGAGAATTGAATCCTGATTATGCTGGAAGAGTTTCAGTTGCAGATTTATTTTCAGCTGCAGATTTATTTTCTCCACCTAATTTTGGTGCTAATACAGCAAATCCCACCTCAGCTCGAGGCACAGCCTCTGTGAATATCAGAACTGGGTTCTTTGTACTCATCAAGGTACTTTGTGTTGTCTCTGCAAGCTCTGGTTACCTGGCTTCCATGGAAAATTTGTATTTTAAACTGTGTTACAACCACTTCTGAAGGATTTTATATTCTTGCACAAAATGAAGCAAAAAGCAAAGCAGCCTGAATCTCACTCCTAGTGAAAGCCATATCAGTTTGTACTTATTTCTTACGTGATTTTCAGTGAATATTAAGTGTTCTATTGATTTTATAAGGACGTTTTCTGCCTCTACTGCCATATTCTTTCACAGCATTTAAAGGAATTGTGTCATAGGCCAGGACAGCGAGCACACACATATATTTAAATATATGTAAAACTTAAAAATTTCACACTATTTTAAACCAGGTTTCAATATAGATTTGCTCTCAGGCTTTTTTTGCAGGTGGCTGGGCCCTCGAGAAAATCCCTGTAGGTGTTTTTGGGAAAGCTCAAGTGCCAAGGCCAGAAAAACCAGGAGACTGTGCCAGTGACAAGAGCTCCCAGCAGCTTCATTTTCAGTGGGAATGTCCAACGGAATGGTAAATTCACGGGGAATATCCCTGTGATTAATTGAACAGACACCTGAGGTCACTGTTCCCTCACATTCACTGGATCCAGGAAAGGAGGTGCTCCATCACCTCCTGGACTTCTCCTCCTGAGGAGCTGCTCTGACCTCCCCAAGGAGGGTTTGTTCTGGGCTGCTGTTTTCATTACCTGTGCTCATTTCAGTGTAAAACTCCAGGAATTTAAGAACAGAACCAAAAAATGTTTTACACTTATTTTTTCCTATTCACTCCCATATAAACTGGGGATTCAGAGCAGTGTGCACAGCACCTCCACGTCACAAGCAATAAAAACATCCTCCTTTAACTGTAGGATTTTAGTAACAGTGTCCAGATGGAAGCATGGGAAGGGCTGTGCAATAACAATAAATCACCCTTCTGGTGCCCAATTTAGTTCTGAGGAGGATCCTGGAGACACCCAGTCTGTATTTCTTCACAAATCTATTCTAGAATTCTTTACAAATCTATTTCTCACAAGTGTTCACACATTCCCAACAATTTTGCTCCTCTTCCTATTGCAGGAAGCCACGATTTAGAGAAGTTGAGCAGTTTCCATTATGACAACAGAGGAATTTCCAGGATTCAGAGAGGGGAATTAACAACCAAGGAGTCACCAGGATTCAGAGAGGGGAAATAACAACAGAGCAACAATTTTGCTCCTCTTCCTATTGCAGGAAGCCACGATTTAGAGAAGTTGAGCAGTTTCCATTCTGACAACAGAGGAGTCACCAGGATTAGGAGAGGGGAATTAACAAAGAAGAGTCACCAGGATTCAGAGAGAGGAATTAACAAAGAAGGGTAGCCAGGATTCAGAGAGGGGAATTAACAAAGAGTCACCAGGATTCAGAGAGGGGAATTAAAGGCAGGGCCTTTTACAGGAGCTGTTTCAGCTCCCAGTGCCACTGGAGACATTCTTGGGCAGGAACAGATTGTGCCTGCCCTGGTGTGAGGTGGCAACTCCCACATTTATTCCAAGCCAGGATCTATCTCCCAGTTTGGAATCAGGCATCTCCAAGAGGTCTATTCCTTTGGAAAGCAGGGATCTCCTTGATTTTCATCATGGATTGCAGCTGGGAGGTTGCAAACTGGTAATTTCAGCAAGGGCTGCTGCTTCAACGTGTCCTCTGTGGTCTGAACGGGAGGAATAACATTCCCTGATTCCCCTGGGACACAGCACTTCCAGGGGCTGCTTGCTGTGTGTTCACCTGCACTAAATGTACTGGGATAATGCTCCAGTTATTTTCCAGTTCTTGCCTGTTTCTTCAGTTCTTGTGAGGAATCCAATTAGCAATCCAATTTACACCAGCATTATCACTGCTGAACTTCAAGGCAGGAGCAAAAGGAGCCAGAAGAGCTCCTTTAAAATAGCTTTGTGACAGGGATGGGGATATTGTGACATTCCAGTCTCAGCTGATGGAGGTGAAACTGTGTTGCATCACCAGCTTTAATGAGCGTTGTCACGGCACAAATACCCGTGGGTTGGCTTTCTTTTCATGTGTGTGTGAAACTTGCACGTCCAACACGTTGGATGCAGTTCAGGGACACCTCTGGAAGTGCTGCCCTGTGTCAGAGAGGGGGAAAACTCCCAGCCCTGCTGAGGCAGCTGGGAATAGCTGGATGCTCAGAGGCAGAGCTGTTGGCTTTGTGCAGTCAGGGGAACAAACAGCACCCCCTGCTTCCTAAATCCCTGGAACCTTTAAAAAACTCCTGCTGTGCCTGTTGTGGGCTTACAAGCAGTGGGATTTTCCTTTGTAGCTTTATAAACCAAAATAACCCAAACCGTATTGAGCTGCTCGAACAAGGAGACATCCCAGGTTAATGAAAGCAGGTTTAGATTAGATATGAGGGGGAAATTGTTCCCTCCGAGGCCCTGGCACAGGGTGCCCAGAGCAGCTGTGGCTGCCCCTGGATCCCTGGCAGTGCCCAAGGCCAGGTTGGACACTGGGGCTGGAGCAGCCTGGGACAGTGGAAGATGTCCCTGCCCATGGGATGGAATGAGATTTAATTTGCCTTCCAACCCAAACCATTCTGGGATTCTGTGATTCTGTGAAATTGTGATCACTCAAACATCATGGCTTATCCATCCTTGATAACCACGAACAGCCACGGCAAAGGTTTCACTTTAAGGCAAAGCAGGGACAGGAGCCAGGAGGTGTTGCTTTAGTCCTGGTGTGTTTGTTACTAGGCTGCACTAGGCATGAACCCCAGACTAAGAAATAATTGTTTTAAAAAGGTAAATATTTGCTCATCAGAACACAAGAGGGACCTGAGGATGATTGTACAGGAGCTGTTTGCTTTCCACTTGCCTTTGGTAATCTTCCGTGTGCCAGCTAAAACATCTCATCCCATTAAAGGAATCCTGGTGAGGGGTGGGGTGAGCTGAGAGCTGCTGGGAGAGGACAAGAGTGGACATCAGGAGAGGTTCAAGCTGGAGATCAGGAAGAAGTCCTTCACTGAAGGAGTGGTCAAGCATTGGAATGGACTCCCCAGGGTAGTGGTGGAGTCACATCCCTGGAAGTGTTCAAACAGCACTTTGGGACATGGTTTAGTGGGTTAAAGGTCGGTCTTGATGATCTTGGAGATCTTTTCCAACCACAGTGATTCTGTAATTCTGTGATCAGGAAAATGAGTGTATTTTTCACTCTGAGTCCTCTGATGAGAGACCGTGAGAAGAACGATATGCAGATAAAAGTATTTTGGACATTATTCCTGCTCAAAAGCTGCACATAAAAATTATGGAGTGAGCTGACATTTCCGGATTCACTTTCCTGACTTTTCTTGCCTCTGTCTGGCTGGAGGAAAAAAAACAGGGAAAATGCCAAAAATACAGTTCAGTGAATGAAGATTTCTTAAACAGTCAGGGAAGGAACACATGGAAAAAGGAGGAGGAGTGGGAGGAGGAGGAGGACAGGGACACTCTGTCCACCCAGGGCTTCACCAGACCACTGGGGCATTTTAACATAAAGCATTTTCCCAGTGGCAACCTAAGATGTGCTGAAATAAATGAAATTTGCTAAATGACAATTAACTCCTTCT